TCGACTTTCAGATAGTTGTGGACTTTCTTCTTTGGTACTACACCAAACCTGCAATTTGTAGTTTCTTAAAGAGTAGCTGCAATTTTAAAAAAGAAAAACATAGCAATAAATGCTTTGCACTTTGTTTCATCAAAATCCATTGATCACAAACAAAAATGTCATTTTTTCCTTCTTTTTTCCACAAAATCAGAGAACAGGAGGGCAGAACGGGTCCTGTCTGGGGGCTGGTACCAGTGTTGGTGGGGAGGATATGAGGAAAGGGTATAGGAGAGTGAATATTGTGCAAATAGTGTGTACACATGTATGAAAATGGAAAATGAGACCTGCTGAAACTATTCCAGGAATGGTGGAGAGGAGGATAAAGGAGAATGATGGAGGGTGAATTCAACTGTGATATATTTGTTATATTGTAAGAACTTTTGTGGCTGCCATAATTTACCTCTAGTCAACACAACAATAAAAACAGGAGCTAAGAAAACCCAAAATAAAACAAATATTTTGAAAAAAAAAATCCATCTGCCGGGACTGGGAATGCAGTCCAGTGGCACAACACTTGCTTAGCATGCACGAGGTCCTGGGTTCAATACCGAGCATTGCAAAACAAAACACCAAAAATCCCCACTGGTCTGTCTTGCACTTTTTTTTTTTGGCAGTACTGGGCTTTGAACTCAGGGCCTCATGCTTGCTAGGCTGGTGCTCTACACTTGAACCACTCTACCAATTCTTTTTTTGTGTTGAGTATTTTTGAGATAAGGTCTCACAAACTATTTGCCCAGGGCTGCCTTTGAACTGCAGTTCTTCTTATCTCTGCCTCCTGAATAGCTGGGATTACAGGCGTGAGCCACTGGTATCCAGCTGTCTTTACTCATGAACGATTTTGTATTCTTATGCATTGGCCATTTGGAAAACTGTGCTGATTTATGCATATTTCATCATAAAATATTAAAAACCACTACACTGCTGGGAATGGTGGTACACTTGGGAGGCAGATGCAGGAGGATCCTGAGTTTGAGGCCAACCTGGAATACATAAGGAGACCCTGTCTCAAACCCAAACCCAAACCCAAACCCAACTGTTCTAAAAGTATTATTACTAGCTCATCAGAAAAGTTTCCAAGAATTGGCAACTGCCAAGTTCATGACCTCAGTCGTCTTAATTGACCAGTTTACTAAAAATTCTAGTTTCACTTGAAGGTTTGAATTTTATTATTGACTTCAATACTGTCAGTTGGTATCCCTTTGCAGTGACAGTCTCTTTTTGTTCATTTTTGAGAAAATGCCTGCCAAAGACAAAGTGTGAAGTTTGTCACTCTTTTGATTAGAATCGCTGTTCCATGAAAAAAGTAACCAGGTCAGGTGGCAGCTGTAAGAATTGCACACTTGCTTTTTCTCGCCTTGATCATCAGGCTCCAGTGTGCAACAGAAGTGATTTATTCTTCCTGTTCCATCACATCCGGCATTCATAGGTCTTGTTCTAAAGTCAAGATGTAATCATTTCATGGTTACCTCCAGGAATTCTAAAGCAAAACTCTCTCTCTCTCTCTTTCTCGTGCATGGTTTTGAACAGCACAATTACTTGAGAGCATATGTCAATCCAGCAAAAAAAAAAAAAAAAAGAAAAAATGCAAATCACACCTTAGTATCATTATGGAATTAGTTTCCACTTTGAAGATTCCCTAAAAGGGTTTCAGGGACCCCAGGGATCCACAAACCACACTTTCAGAACTTCTGCTGTAGTGTGTAATAGTTCTGGAACAACCTATCCTGCTTCCAAGATGCCCCCCTCACCACCTTTTTTTTTGGTGGTACAGGGGTTTGAACTAAGGACCTCATGCTTGCTAGTCAGGTGCTCTATCGCTTGAGCTACTCCACCAGCCGTTTGTGTGTGTGTGTGTGTTGAGTATTTTTTGAGACAGGGTATTGTGAATTATTTGCCCACTCTGGCCTCAATCCAAGATCCTCCCAATCTCTGTCTCTCAAGGAGCTATGATTACACCCATGAGCCACCGGTGCCCCCTTTTTTTGGTATCAACCAGAGTTGGTCCCTGTTGCCTGTCCCCAATACTCCATGTTATAAAGGTCATTGTTTATAGTTATTTCAGTCAAAATGTTCAAGGGACTCTAATATGAAGCATTTATAAGTAAGTAACCATTAGGAAGAACTTAAGATTCTCAAGTTTCACTTTACTAAAAAAAAAAATCTAACATTTATGCTTCCTATATTCTTGATGTTAAGTTAATATCAAATAATCACACAAGGCCAGGCCCCAGTGGCTCACGCCTGTAATCCTAGCTACTTGGGAGGCTGAGACTGTGAGGATTGCAGTTTGAGGGAAATATTTTGAGAGACCCCCATCTCCAAAATAACCAAAGCAAAGTAGACTGGAGGTGTGACTCAAGTGGTGGAATGCTTGCTTTGCAAATGTGAAGCCCTAAGTTCAAACCCCAGTCCCACCAATCATCCCCATCCCCATCATCACCATCATCAAACAAGTCTACATCAGCCCATGAGTTGTGGCAAAAGAAGGAAATGGCACTGATGTTTTCTCCCATCTTCTGGATGTTCTCAATGACCTTATTGTGCTAGGCAGTATTGTTCTTATTTCCGATATTAAAGGATATATTCAGTGGTTAAGTCCTTGGCTAAGATCACTCAATATTGGAACCCCTCATTTGGATTGAGATGCTCCAAACCCCAGAACCTCTTCAGTTTACCATGCAGGAATTTCTGATAAGCACAAAGATACAAGGTGGTGTCAGCTCAAGTTTATGTCTTTGAACATAAGGTTGTAAAATCATGGATGAAGGCAGTTGGGTTAGTCACACTTTGGTCAATTTGTGACAAATGTCTGAGAGAGATAATTTAAGATGAAGAAAGATTTATTTTTGCTCACAGCTTCAGAGGTTTCAGTCCATGGTCATTTGGCTCCATTGCTTCTGTGGAGAGCCTGTGGTGGAGCAGAGCTGTTCACCTCATGGTGGACAGGAAGCAGAGAGGCAGACAGGAAGGGGTGGGGACAAAAATATCCTTCCAGGGCACCTTCCCCAGACCTACTTCCTCCAAATAGGCCCCACTTCCTAGTTTCTACCACTTCTCAATATTGATGGATTATGAATATATCAATGGATTAATCCACTGATGAAGTCAAAGGCTTCATGATCCAATCACTTCCCCAAATGTTCCCCACTTCTGAACATTGTTCTGGGGACCAAGCTTCAACACATGTACTGTGGGGGACAATTCAGATCCAAACCAAGACACAGATTCTTTAAGAAGGTCCCTTGAATATTCCATCATGATGATATGAGAACACTGACTCCCGACTAAAGCATAGTCCATCCTGAGGTGGTATTTCACAGCTGGAAGATACTCTTCACGCCTACTAGAGAATCCATGTACAGCCAAAATGCACTTCAGTCACTGCTTTGTGGGGACATCTGAGAATCTGATCAGCATCCAAATCACAATGTATCACACTGCAGGTGGCAGGCAGTTCTCGGATGGTCCCAGTGATCTTTGTTTCCTGCTATTCACATCATCACAGAGTCCCCACTCCTCAAGTGTGGATGAGAACTATGACATATTTCCAGCCAATTAAATAGGGAAAAGGTGTGGAGCTACCATGTATGTGATCTGAGTTCATAAAACTGACTTCTGCCTTGCTAGCAGACTGTCTCTGCCATCTTGGTTGGAACACTTCAATGATGCAAGTTGCTGTGTTGGAAAGAGGCACACGCTGGAAGTGGAGGGCAGCCTCTGACCCCCAGCTGGTGGGCAGTTAGGGGCTCCAGTCCAACAGTCTGGGAAGGGCTGACTCCACCAGCACAAGCTGGTTGAGCTTGCAAGCAGATCCTTCCCCTGGTGACCCTTCAAGAGGAGATGAGGCTTAATGACAGCTTGACTGCAGCTGTGTAAGACACCCAGGAGTCGAGGACCCAGCTAGGCTGTGCCTGGATTCCTCACCCACAGACTGAGATAATAAATGTGGAGTGTCAGGAGCTAAGTTTTGGAGAATTGATTATGGTCATTTGTTATGCAGCAGAAGATGCCAAATATACTGCATTTACCTGTGCCTCTTCAGCAGGACCAGAGTGAGCTGTTTAAACTCACTGGGTCCTTGTCTGGTGTTTACTGGCTGCGGGACAGCATGCACCAGGATCCAGACTCTGGAGTAAAAGGGAACTGGAGGCTCTGGGAGCCACTGCTCCAGGAGAGCCCTCTGTGCACTAGGGTTCCCACCGGAACCTCCATAACTGTCTCGTCATCGTCATCTGAGCATCACTTAGTTTATGCATCAGAGGCAGCGAGCCAATCACTCCTTACAGTCTGGAACCAGCTTGGTTGGGAGGCGTCAATTCTCCCAAATGCTGTTCCATAGCACAGGCGCAAATGCAAAACTTCACACCCCCATCTGGTTCATAGGCAGAGGTGCAAAATGCCTGAAAAAATGTTAGATCAGAGACTCTTTTTGAGAAAGAGGAATATTGGGGTGGGGATGGGGGTGGGGGAGAGGATACTGAATTATATTGCAGTGGAGAATCAGAAAAGCCACTTCGGTCTCGGGTGGCCCGATCTGTAAAGCGAAGGTTTATCTCCAGGAGGCACGGTCCTTTGATTCTTAGTCTGACATAATCTGGGTCGCCGTGAGCTGGTTCTCCGGGTGCTCAATCAAATCTCAAATTGAGGGTCACAGAATGAATACCTGTTTACAAAGGGGGTTGCAGGATGGAGGGAACTAGAGAGGCAGTGCAGCGCCTGCACGAGAACGGGCCTGGCAGTCATTACTTCTGCGCGGGGTCCCACGTCCCCAGGGGGTGGGGAATGTGTGTCACTGGGACCGCGAGGGGAGGGGCAGAGCGCAGCCGGGACCCGCGCCGCTGGCCTGCCCCGCCCACGCGGGGCCGCAGCCCGTCGAATGACTCTGTGCAACGTGTTGGTGGCGGCGGCGGCGGTGGCGCGGACTCTTCCGGGCTCCGCGGCTTCCTGCCGAGCACCGCGCAGCCGCCTCCGTCGCGGGATCTCGGGGTGCAGGCCTCGGCGCGGGTGCGGAACCCGGGCGCCCCGCGCGCGCCCTGCCGGCCGCCGCCCGCACCATGCGCGCCGCGCTTCTCCCGCTGCTGCTGCTCGCGGTCCTGGCTGCGCCGGTCGCCCGCGCCAGCAGAGCCCAGTCCAACCCCGCGCCACAGCCCCAACCTGAGCCCGGCCCCGGGCCCAGCAACGCCACCTGGCCCGGGTCTGGGGCGGCGGAGAGCGGCGGTGGCAGCTCCAACAGCAGCCGTGAGACCTTGGTGATCCGCATCTCCACTCTGCTCCGCGATCTGCCCACCGTGAAGGCGGCCGTGATCGTGGCGTGCGCCTTCAGCGCTCTGTTCATCGCCTGCTTGCTGCTGCGCGTCTTCAGGTGGGTCCCTTAACCCCGACACCCGCGGACCGAGTAGGCGACATCACTAACCTGGTGCAACCACCACGCTCGCCCCACCTGCGCGCGCAGGTGATCGGGGCGCGCCGGGCTGTGCGCTCCTGCCACCCGGGCACCTCTCTGCCCTGCCCGGGAGGGTGGGCTCATCGGGTTTTTCCTGGTACACGTTTTAGGAATCCTTTTCCCTTTATTTTAAAAGCGATCCAGTATATCATTATGGGTTTCATTTTACTCTCTGTTAACCCTTTATACTTAACAGTAGTGCTCTGAATTCTGACAGCCTTCCCTGCGACTTATTTTTGTACCCATTTCATGGATGAGGAAAACATTTCCAGAGAGGAAAGGTGGCTTATCCAGGTAAACTAAGTGATTCGTTTTGTTTTTGTGTATGGTGGTACCCTAGTCGTACCGGGGTTTGACTAGCAAGTCAAATGCTCTACCACTTGAGCCATACCCCAGTCCTAAACTCAGTGGTGCAGGTGGGTTTTGAACTCAAGTTTGTCTAGCTTTAATCTTGCTGTGGTTTCTCCTCACTTCCATCTGCTGCTCACCCATATGCCATCTGCTCCCTCCTTCTTTTTTTCTTTTTCTGATACATTTCTAGCTGGGGGTGGGGTGAGAGTAGGGTGTCCTTAGATGCTTATTTTACACCTGGGGCTAGTGCTGGGCTTTACGGTACTTGGCGACCCTTAGTGGCCTGGGTGACTTTACTGGGGCTGTCTGAGGCCCCTGTCTGATTAAGCCATCCCCAAAGGCAGGAGAAGTCTCTGAGAGGTTTTTGGAGATTGCTAAGGTCAAGGAGAGAGTATGCTTCCTGGAGTTGTGAGGTGGACATGTCCCCTAGTGCCTGGGACATTCCTATTTTTGTAGGAAACGAACTGAACGTGTCCTGTTGTTCGGGGCGGGCCTGCCTGACAATCTAGTTGTGTGTGTCACTTATTCCCTGCCTGTTACCTCACCCTGTGTTTTGGCCTTTGGTAGTTCCTGGGGCCCTGGGGTCAGGGGCTTGCTCACGGGTAGCATTTTCTGTGTGTGAGCAGAAACCCTCCTGGAAAGGCAGGGTTGGAGCTATGGGTTACACTTTACCCTTGGTTCTGTGTGACACAGTCCAGGTGTTTCCGTTTGGGTTTTCATGAGTAAATACCAGGGGGCTGAGAGGGGAGAAGCGGGGAATTTTGGTCCCACACAGTCCCTCTCCACCCCTGCCTTGGTGCAGGCCACGTCACTGGTCTCCTTGATGTGCTCCAGGTCCACCCCACCCCCACTACATATGAACTCCAGCAGCTCCTGGTAGCCACAACCAAGGCACTACCTGTGCATGCCACCAGGGCTCTTACAAACTGGCCCCCCGGCCACCCTGCAGCCACAGCCAGCCTTTCTGTTGTTGCTCGCTTGGAGACCTCTGGCCTGATTCCTGCTGTACCTCTTCCAAGGTTGCATGCTGCCACCCAGTCTAGTTTTCCTGGACAATCAAACCAGGTGGTCGTTGCTTTCTTTTCTGGCCTCCCCAGCCCTGACCTTCTGCATCTTCCAGAAGAAGTGCTACCCTGCCATGTGGGGGGCCCGCCTCCCTCACTCAGCAGAGAGCCCGGAGCGCGGGCGCCCAGCTCATCCTTGGGTCTCTGTACCCGATGTGGGCCTGGCACTCAGAGAGACCAGGGCGTCATTTGCTGCCTTCCTCACTGTTCAGTCGGAGTCAACGGACGCCTAGAGCCACCCTGCGCTTGGAGGTTTGAAGCAGTTAGCTCAAACTAGGCTGAGCCCACAAGGCTGTGTACTTTTTAGGAAGGTATTTGAACTATTTTGCCAGTCTGCTTCTTATTACCCACAAGTGGGGGAGAATAAAAAGACATCATGCAGCCAGATGTGCGGGCATGGGGCCTTGGGATCTGGCGCTCAGGCCTGGAGGGTCCTTGATGACTTGGGTGTGGAGTGTTGAGGGAAGGCTGCAAACGAAGAAGGCAGTATGGGTGCATTTGACGTCCTCTTCCCGGGAAGGTATGTTTGGCAGGTGAGTTCCCAGGTGGATGGCTGCTACCACAGAGGTTCTGATTTAGACAAGAATTTGTAACATTGTACAGCTGTTACCCCGTAACCCAAACGTAAGGAAGTGGAACAAGGCGTCACTAGATTCTAGGACACTCTGCAAGTCCTGTTGTCTAGGCCTGGCCAACATCTCCACTCTGCTACTCTGGGGTGCGTGCTGTGGCAACCTCCATCCTTCCACGTTTCCACAGGGCCTGGTTCAAGAGGCTCCCCGCTTGTCCTGTGTGCTGGCCAGGTGTCCTTACCTGTCTGCTGTCCAGTTTCTTAGCACTCAGGCTAAGAGTCCTGACCCTTTCCCCACTCAGGTGTTCCTAAGACCCATCTCACCTCTGCCCAGTGAAGTGTCCTCTCCTGTTGTCACCTCTGCCTGGGTTGCTTCCCTCCCTGCCCCTCCTGAGTCACAGTGACAGTCTGAATGCTAGGGTTGCTGCCTTCATCCTCCTCCATCTCCATGCCATCCTTTCTTGCCTGCTGCGTTGCTGGTCTCATCCTTCCTCTGCCTCCCCACCGCTCCCTTCCCCAAAATATAAGCCTCTAGGCACGTGGGAAAAGCTGGTTTTCCATGACTGGGCTCGTGCCCTCTTCCCTAGGCCCCATCTCGGCTCTGCCCAGTGTCCCTCTACCCTGCTTAACCCCCAGGTATTCTCCAGAGGTGCTGTGTTGTCTGAGCATCTCATCCAGCTCCGACCTCTGCCTCGATTCCCCTCCGCCACCAAGACTACACCACCGGCTTATTGCTGTTGGCTCTCCCATGTTGCCTTGTCTGAGTAGCCTTCTTCTGGCCAGGGCTCTCTGAGCTCCCAGCACTCTCACATCCCTTTACCTTCCCAGGGCTGAGTCTTCATCTCTTGCAGCTCTCTTGACACCTAGAATGGTTCCAGGCACAGGCCAGCATTTAATAGGGATATTTTAAGCAAAAGAATTTAGCACTCCCAACTATTTTATATCGCTGATGTCTCTCAGAGCGTCCTGTGTGACTGGATGCGTGACTGATGTGGGAATTTGGGGTAATACTCATTCATTGTCTTAGCAACGAGCAAAAGGTGGGGGGGATGTAGAATTGTTGCTTAAAGCTGACAATCGCAGCCTGTTTGTTTTCTGTGAAGAAGCCACCTTGCCCAACAACAGAACAAATAACAAGGAAGCTCTGAAAATAGAAAGCAAAGAATACGTACTGTGCTGAAATGCGTATAAACCTTTAGCCAAGCTGTCCCATTGCTAAGGTATACATGTTTTTCACAATGGTGCGTATCCCTTGTTTCTAGTATTAGTGATTAGAAGAGGAAACCGAGCTGGGTGCAGTGGCTCACCCCTGTAATCTCAGCTACTTGTTGAGTTTGTGGAGGATTGTGGTTGGAGGACAGCCTGGGCCAAAAGTTTGGAAGACCCCCATCTCAATCAGGTGGTGGTGGGTGTCTGCCATCCTAGTTATGCAGGAAGTGGGTAAATAGGAGGGTCGTGGTCCAGGCTTGCCCTGGGCATAACTGTAAGATCCTGTTCAGAAAATAACTAAAGCAAAAAGGGCTGAGGGTGTGCCTCAAGTGGTAGAGCACCTGCCTAGCAAATGCAAGGCCCTGAGTTTTTGAACTAGTACCACCAAAAAAATTAAAAAAAGAGGAAGCCTAGCTGAATGTGCAGGTATATTCACAAAAGTTCTGTTTGATAGTGAAAAAGTTTAAGTAACCTACGTAGAGCAGGAAATGCTAGTGCACACCTGTAATCCCAGCACTCAGGAGGATCTCAGGTTTGAGGCCAGCCTAGGCTACATAGCAGGAACATGTCTCAAAAAGACTGCACGCCACCCCCCCCACTCCATACTCACCAAATGGCGCCAGCTAAATGAAATGATGGCACTGCTTAACAACTGTTAAAAATGGTGACAAGGTTACACCACTGGCCTACTACACTGTGGATTGTAACAGGTTGCAAAACAGCATGGGAGCATGTGCTCATTTCCCTAAATAAATTATAAAGATGCGAAGCACAAGGCCCAGAGTTCAAACCCAAGTACTGCCAAAACAATCCCCAAACCAAACCAAAATTATAAATGTGCGCATATACGAACACGCAGAGAAATCTGTCAGTGCCAGTGCATGCGTGTAAGCGTGGGAATTCTTTCTTCGTGTCTTTTTCGTGGTATGTTTCTGAATTCCTTTACAGTCCTGTGACATGGATTGATGACTTGTTCTTCCTGTGTGCACGCTGCATCCTTGCACAGGTCTGAGGACCAGAGGGAGGGTGTCTGGGTTGTATACCTGGGACAGGGATTTCTGGGTGCCAGGGGTGCTGGTACTTGACTTCCCCAAGTGGGTGCTGTGTACACTCCCACCTGCAGAGCTCCCGGGTTCTGGGATCCTCCAATCGTACTTGACACTTAGTGTTAACATTTAGTGCTACCTGCCTTTCTGATGTCTTTCCCATCAGACAGGTGTAATTTGGTATCCTGTTGTTCTTTCTTAAAGACAAGATCTCACTTTGTAGCTTCGGCTGGCCTTGAACTTGGGATCCTCCCACCTCTGCCTTCTGAGTGCTGGGATTATAGGCAAGTACCAGCTGAATTTATTTTCTGTTGTTTGAGCAGCTGTTTTTTTTTTTTTTTTAAACTGATTTCCCCATCTGCAAAATCATTTCCCTGTCTTTCGCTATTTTACTATTAAGGAAAACGTTTTATTTTTATTTTTTGGCAGTACTGGGATTTGAACTCAGGGCCTCAGGCTTGCTAGGCCGGTGCTCTACCACTTGCTCTACTCCCCAGCCCTAAGGGAGAGGAAGGCGGTTTGGGTAGAGCAGGCCCTGTGGTGGGCACCTTCGCGTGGGGCGTAGGAGGCGTCCAGTGGCATGTGGCTGCTTGATGCCTCTGATGAGGCTGAAGGAGAGTCAGCAAAAATGACTAAAAAAAGAAAACTGAACTGATTTTTCCTACTTTTTTTTTTTTT